CCCCCAGGGGTATGCATACCCCCGGTTGACAACCCCTAATCTAGCCTACAGATGACTAGCCTATGTCAAAAGCTTTGCTAAAGTCAAGGCATATCACATCCATTGTTTTCTTCCCCTCATTCAAATCCACAGCGCCTTTCATCTAATCACTGAAAAAAATTGAAGTTGGTCAGGCATGACTTGCTCTTGGTGAATCCATGCTGGTTGTTCCTGATTATCTTGCTCTCTTCCAGGTACCTAGAAACAGATTCCTTAAAGACATGTTCTACAATTTGTCCAGGTATCAAGATCAGACTGACTGTTCTGTAACTTCTCAGATCACCCTTCTTGTCTTAAAGATGGGTACTATCAATCCAGTACCTCACTCAACCTCCATGATTTCTCTAAAAGGACAGCCAATGGCTCTGACATTACCTCAGCTAATTCTTTCAGTACCCTAGGGTGTATCCCAGGGGTGAGCAATTATTTGGGATGGACAGTAACTTCATGAGTTTTGGTGCTGTTGAGGGCTGCACACACAAACATGAGTATATTCATGCATGTGCATGTACATATGCACATACATATATGCTCCGTGCAGCCAGGCTGCAGCTGGCACCAGAGCAGCTGCAGACAGGGAAATATAAGCCTGCCCAGAGCTATAGCACACCATCCCCTGCTCCATTCCTTCCTCCATGGCCCATTCTGCCCAAAGTCAGCATCTGCTGGCTACATCCACAGCTGGGAGGCAAGGCATGGAGCCTGGCCATAGGTCTCCAGTGCTGTCCTGCCCTGCTCACCCCCTCACCCAACCCCTCAGATCCCAGGAGTCCTGATGGTGGGGCAGAATGGGACAGTGTGCAGACCCCATGGGCAGATGCTAGCTTCTGCTGGTGCCATGGGGGATGTTGGGACGAAGCAGCACCAGAGCCACTGGGGCCCAAGTATGGCTTGCCCAGGGCCTGCTAGGTAGGTGGGCAGGGCTCCTTCTGCACAGTGTTTCCTGTGACACCTGGTAGATGGAGTCTGGCCCTGCAGGCTGTGGGTGGGCTGGACTCTATCTCCCAGACCGAAGCTTGGTGCTGGAGGGCTGCTTCTGCCCAGTGTTCTCCGTGGCACCAGCAGAGGCTGCAGCCAGAACTGGTGTCCACCAGCAGAGGCTGGGGTCCAAGCATGGCTTGCCTAGGTGCCGCCTGACTGTGGGCTGGGTAAAAATCAATAGGTGGGCCGGATCTGGCTTTTGGCCCATATTTTGCTCACCCCTTGTGTATCGCATCCGCCTTGTTGACTTGAAAACATCCAGCTTCTTTAAGTAATCTCAAGTCCAGGGGTGTCAAAGATATGGACAATACACTGGATTCAGCCCACAAAGCTGTAGCATCCAGCTCTGGGTGCTGCCCATGGGTACTGGAATGACCCACAGGCAACAAGTGCTGGATGGCCCTGTGTGCTGCACACGGTGCCTGCTCCAGCCTGCATCCCTGAGTGGCAGAGCATACGCCACATATAGCACAGCCCCAGAGGATCCATATGACACTCGAGGGTCATGCTGCATGCCACAGTCATTTTGGACCTGAGCAGCACAGCCCTGTGGCAGTGGCTTCAGGGCCATGCAGTATGAGTCCAGAACAGCTTAAAAAGGACTGCACCACATGCAGCACCCACTGCACCACCAGCTCCAGATCTGGAATGCGGGGCCAGTCTGAGTCTTAATAGCCAAAATGTAAGGGAGAAAATGCAAAATGTCATAATGTAAGGAAGAGAGAACCCTAATCACCAATGATCAGAACAGATCATATTTTTAAAAGTACTTTTAGTACCTCTTGCTGGAAATCTTTACACCATTCACCCCATGCTAAACTCTTCAAATAGTACTGTAACAGGACAGATTATTTTTAGTTTAGTTATCTGTAAAACTTGTACATGGATATTTCAGTTAACAACAGAAATCTTGGTGATACCCATGATATGCGTATAGAAGAAATCATGTTAGCATCTTTCTAGCAAGAACCGTACATTTTTTACCAAACTTGTGCTTGTAAGATTCCCTTACTTAGCAGACCAGTAGTTTCCAATACTGATTTAACATACACAAAAGAAAGTGTCTTCCTCTAAGAGAGTCTAAGGAACTGGGTACATGAATAAATTACTACAAGAGTATGAACTGAACAATGCATTAGGTCATTTTCCCATTTTAGCTGAGGTATAAGCTACTTTGCATCTACTATGGGCCAACACTATGCATGTGGGCAGTTATCATGGGATGGAATTCCAAAGTGAAGGGAGGAGAGGTATTACATTTTACTTCATAATTTTCAATGACAAACTATTTTTGTTCTCTGAGCTACATAATCAAGTTACCTAGAATAAAGATATTTTAGTAAACTTATGTTCTTGTATCTGCCCAGGTACACATTCTTAGCCCATGATAAATGCAAAGTTTACCTTATGGTAACATGTTTGTCTGCCAACAACCTGCATTTGAATATATGAGAAGTAAGCCCTCATTATGTCCAGATGTATCACTGCAGCAGCCATTTCACAAACAAGTAAAAAAAATGAAGAAAAATGTTGTGGTTCAAAATACCTAACTACTTTTGAACAAGAAAAACAATCTCAGCTGTTAAACAGAGAAATGTATGCAAGGATGCTGCTATTTGTGGGAAGGAGACTCATGCTGTAAAAACTCAACAGCATACATCTGTTCGGTCATCTGGCTCTCAGATTTTAACAAGAACTTGCTACATGCAACTCTTTGATATTAATGTCCTGCCTGTTACCTGAGTCCTTCCTGAAAGAGGACATCAAATCCTTAAGGAATATTCAATAAATTTCCCTTGATCTTCCTCAGTTTGATAACCAGATAATAATAATTGAGGAAAAACTTGAAAATATTGACAAAAAATATATGTATCATATTATTTCGTACACTGAAAACCTTAGCACAACAATGTTAATCTTGATATTTCAGTAACACACATGCACCCCAAAGAAGATACAAATGTATGATGATACCTCTATTCACATGAAGCTTCTAGATGCAGGAAGTATGTCTGAAAGCTGGTATGCATGCAAGACTAGATGGAGGAAATCATTTTAGCACATTTCTAAGCAAAAACCATAAACAATTTACTAAAAATGTACTTATGATTTCCATGGCTAGTGCAGACAATTTAATATCGAGTCCATTAATGAGAAAGAAAATATCCTTTTCTACAACTGTTTAACAACACAGAGTTTGTTAAACTGATCTTGCAGCAGCATCCTTGTGGGGGGCCTGTCTATACAGGCTCTGGAGTCTACCAGCATGGATGCAATTCCAGGATTACAGCCTAAGATGTTTCTCTTTGAAGTCAGTACTTCTTTTGGAGATGCTAGTGAGCTTTGACATCTTTTCTATAGACACCAACAGATATGAAAAATTATGAATAATAAAAAAATAACAAAAGTTTAAAATGAAATAATGTGACAATATTAGAGCAGTTATCAGACTTTGTAAAGAATTAAAACAAAAGAAGGAAAGTTATCAGTAAAATAAAATTAAGATTCCTGAACAGAACTAACATGAGAATATGTTGCAGTAATAAGTTACTTGTAGATTTTTGCCACTGAGAAGGTAAATTCAGAAATAAATGTAATTTGAATACAAAGTTTCTCTGTTACAGACAGAATTATGTAAGAAATATACTGTGGCCAGGAGAGAGCTCTTTCTTCATCCGTGAAAGAAAAATGAATATGCTACCCTTTGCATTTATGCATCTGGTTTTTTTACAGTAACATCGTAAGTTCAAGGTCAGGTATTTCTGTTACTGAGTATGGCCCCAAATGACTGCATTTACAGCACAACAAATAGTATACATGTAGGTAAAATCTTTAGCTTTGAGGAACTAAGACAACATTGAATGAACATAAGAATACAATGCTCAGAGTTCATGTTTTTCTTCTTTATCTCATTTAAATACAAGCAAACACAATATTTTTGTGTACGGCAATTACTAAAAAGGTAAAATTTAATACTTTAATTTATAAGACAAAATAAAATTTCCATTTTATTATGGGACAGTTTTCTTCAATTCAGAAGGGAGGAGGGATATTCAATTTTACTTCATCATTTCCAATTGTAAACTACTTTTCAGGGCCACATAAGGCATCTACACGAGATTCTACTGTGCAGTGGTTACTGCACATTTATTTAGTACTTGCTGATCCTTGCTTATTTAGTACTTGTATTAGCAAGTACTAAATAAATGCACAGTAACTAGAGTTACTGTGCAGTAGTGTCGGCAAATGTCTTTTAAGTGATGGTACTTCGCAGTAGCCAAATAATACTGTGCAACAGTGTATTAGCACTGTCTGTGCTGTGATGCGCTACCGCACAGTATTATTAGGCCACTGCACATTCAGCACCTCGTGTAGACGTACCCATAGAGAAATTACTTAGAATAATAGTATTTTAGTAAACTTATGTTTTTGTAAGAATTATGGATCCTACTGTGGAACTTCATGCACAATAAATGCTTACTGACCTTAGTAATTTTACTGAAATCAGTTTGACTACTCATGTGAGTAAGATTTTAACACAATACATGCCAATTTATTTTGCAGTTAACTGCTTCTAGACATTCCTGGGACTACGCAATCTGGGTGAAATCTTAACCTTATTAAGATTAACAAAAAATTCTGATTGATTTCATGTAGGCCAGATTTGTCCTGTCTTTTTCTCAGATTATGCTAGTGAAAGTAGGTCATTCTTTGTTGGCTTATTTAATCATTATTAGGCTCAGATTTATTATCCTGTAATACACTTATTGTCAAAACAAGTAAAACACTTTAATAAAACAAGAAGGTATGATTTAATTTTTAACTACATTTTCAAGCACTATTTTGATGTTATAAGATATTCAGTTCTATTACTCCTTGAAGACTGAATATTTTTGTACTGCAAAACAAATTGTAAGATAGATACTCTGCTTCTCTGATTATTATTCTTTGAGTTAAAAATCAGCACTTTAAGAACTTACCTAGCTGGTATTTTGAGTAATAACTTGTCATTTGTTCATTACTGTTTGATTGTCTCTTATGCCTTTTTCTGATATTCATATCAGTGGTCTCCCATTGTAGTCTTTTTCTTTTGTTTATTGTGTTTTGAATTTCAGAACTATCAGCAGAATTGGCATCATTGTTTATAGCGCTGCTTGATTTTTTACTGTTTAGTTGGTCATCCAGGCTTTCAGTCATTTTGCAAGGATTAGATCCTCTACATGTTTCCACATCTTTTGCTTGCCTCTTTAATGCAACTTGCCTAGCAGACTGGGACCTTAAAGTTGGATATTGTTTTTCTTCAATACTGTGCTGACTGTTCTTACTTTCAACAGCTTCGGGAGAATAAATGATAGTATTTAACTTAAAGGAGTTGCGCTGCTCAATATGGTTTATTTTTCTCAAAAATATTCGACAATCCTTAAAGGTTTTGGGTCTCCATGCACTTCGACACAGATTACCTTGGTTCTGTTCTTTTACAGTATTTTGTTCACTACAACTTGCTCCATTTGTTTCTGCACACATTTTAAAAATATTTGCTAGACTAGGATGTGTGCTGAAGTCAGGCGATTCCACTGTCTGTTGAAGAAATGCATCTCTGATTTCAGTTTCAGACGGCAAGATTCTACTGTAAGATTCTACCAAGTTTTTGGTGGGCTGGTTTTCTACATTTTTCTCCTGGACCATAGGTATTCCGGCACTGGTTTCCCCACTCACATTTTTGAAAAACTGGCTTTGGCAGAAGAATCTTAAGTTTTTCTTTTTAGATGTCCAGTCAACTGTTCTCCGGTTATACAGTTTTTTCACTTGTTGCCACCTATCATGCTGTAACTTCTTAAATTCAGTTCTTCTTAATCTAGCTAGTGTGAAGTTACTTTTCATGTTCAGGACTGGAGACCTGACCATATTATGCAATATTTGTAGTTTCCCTGCTGGTTTTGAAGGAGAAGATAGTGCAAACTTTTTAAAGTGCTTTCTGAAAGGGCTAGTATTAAGATCAGATTGCTTAGTTCCCATCTTTGTCCCTCTAGTACTAATTACTTCCAGCGGATTGCGAGCATTGGCTTTTCTTACAAGAGAGAGAGACTGTGTTTCTGTAGTTTGCATAAACCAGGTACAGAGTTCATTCATATTACACTTTTTCTGGAAAAGCATTTTTATAGGTGATGCTTCAAGTTCTACCAGACAGGTGTCTAAAGTGTTTGACACTTTAACGCTACAGTCTTGTTCAACGTTATCTCTTTTTTCATATACACATTTTTCAAACTCATTTCCCCCCACTCGCAACCAGGTATTGGTTATCTGTTCAAATCTATTATTTAGTTCTTCCAACAAGGAATCATTTGAAGTGGATGTAGCCCACCACCTGAGAGAAGGATTTGATGAAAAAATGGGATCTGATGAAACTTCATTAATGGGTCTGAATTCACCATCCTCAGAACCCTGTTTTGTATTCCCTGAATTTCTAGTTTCTGAGGTACCTTTGGATACTGTGCTCAGATTTGACTGCCTATGTTTTTCTTTTTGATCTTTAGCTTTTTTCAGATGGAGCTTATACGATTTACGGAGCAAGGCACTTCTACAAGTAAATGCGCTAGAAGATGCTAATGAATGTAAGAAAGGCATTGATGGTCTTCTGTCTCTAACAGAATGCCTCAAAGGAATTTTATGTTTTCTTGATACTGTTGCAATCACATTGTCTGAACCATCCTTCCTAGCGCCATTTTGTATCCTCTTTGTTTCATCCATCTTATTGCACTGTTGTTTATTTTTCTCCTCTGATATAGTTTTTTCTAACATGCTTTGTTGTTGTAAAGGAGGCAAGCAGCTGCTAATACTTACTTTTCTTTCCTGAGGTGAAACTCCATAAACAGTCACTGATATGCCAGAGATTTTTACCTTTGCTGGCCTACCAGGCTTTCTAATGGTGTTTAAAGGCTTCTGATTTGGTCGTATGATATTGCTGCAAGGATGTGGTAATACTGAGCTATTCTTGATCGGTCGGATATACTCATACACAGACCCAAAGATCTCACTTTCAGCAGAAATCCGTGAGGATTTTACTATTTCAGCCAAACTGTTTTCAGTTTCTGAATTTTGCTTCAGTTCATTTGAGTCATTTGCAAAATTGGAACCAGCATGTTGAGTAGGCATAGCACGAATTATATTATTTCCTTCGGAAACATGCCTTTTAGTTCTTCTTGACCTCCCATAAACAACTGTCACAGTAATATTTTTGTTTTGATTAACTTCTTCCAGTACTGCTACATCAGATTTAGTATTTTTCCCAATACTGGTGGGTTTATTTCTATTATCAGTACTTTCAGCTATATCTATTTTAGGCTTTGGAGGTCGTCCAATGGGTCTCTTAACCTGTTTTACAACTTGAGGACCTATTTTTTTAGGTCTGCCAGGTTTTCTTTTTAAAACAGAGGGATCATTGCCACTGCTTGGTTTTTCCACAGTTTCTTCAATTTGCTTACAGTTTTTTATATCAGTTTCACCTGCTGCACAGGAATTTGCAGTTGCCCCAGAATAATCACAATTTGATTCCTCTTTGTTTACACTTTCATTGCAATTACAACCACAATCTTCAACACAGATTTCAGGCTCAAGATCTCCAGTTTTGTGTTCTTCCTCTGATACTGCATTTGGGTGCTTCTCAAATAAACCAAGTTCAGTATTTGCTTTAGATGATGTACTGGCAGAAGTTAAAGTATATTTGACTCCTTCGCTACTATTAATCTCTGAGACAAACATAAGCTTAATAGGGCTAGAGTAACCTAGGAGAGATGCACTCTCTCCAGTTTCAGACCTTGTTCCTAAATCTCCATTAGTAGAAGTCAAGCTGCCTGAATCAAAGGGTAAAGATTTAAAGAGGTTGTCTTCACATCCTCCACCTACATCCTCTTTGCATTCTCCTGTTGCCATAAAAACTGTTTGGTTTTTATTGCTGCTTGGCACATGAGACTCCGGAAGGAAACTCTGTCCTGTACATTCTATTTCACTCATGGTAAAATGTAGACCTCTCCTAGCAGATGGGCTCATATCATACTCATAAGTATTGTCTTTCAATTTTCTGCATATTTTATACGTTTCCAACAATGGATTTTTAGTCTTTTGGGCTAAGTTTATTGTATCTTCCAAGCGTTCCACAACAACCTGTAGATTTGCGTTCCTCACAATTTTATTTACATCGTTATCACTAGTTCTTTCAGCTTGAAGGTTTTTAATGACCTTAATTCTTTCCAAAGTTTCAGGAGAATTTTTTGCTTTGGATGATTTTTTAAATAAAATATTGTTTGTTACATATACAGAGTACCATCCAGGAGGCACAATGTTACGTTTGGTTCTGCTCAAGATGCCATTATATTCCTGCTTCAAAGAAATCTGATCAGTCTCTTTTTCTGCACAGTCTCCTTGCATTTTTGCAAAATTAGACTGATTGGCTGTTGTAGCACTGATGTTTTCTGAAAGCGCCACAAAACCAGAGTTAGTTTTCAAATTATTCAGAGGTAGTTCCAATGATTCTGTTTGATCTGCTGGCAAAGACAATGATTTAATTTGGCAATTTATACTTGGATCATGTTTATGATTTTGTAAAGCTTTGTCTTCTAACATGTTATAATTGTCTCCTTTGTCTGGTGACATTTTATCATCATTTTTTGTAGATTTCTTTGTATTTCTCTCCAAACTTGATTTTTTCCTCATAAAAGCATCATCAAAACTTGCAATTTCCCTCTTGATTTGCAGAGATTGTCGCCTAAACAACGGTGAATCGGGAGAATTATACGTTGCAAATAAAGTTTCCTGGCGCTTGCGAAATCTTGTTTGGATAATTTTATTTTTCACTTGTTTATCGTGTTGGCTAAGCAACTCCATAAAACTATAATCACTTGCTGTAGCATTATGCAAGAGAGATGTTATGAAGTCTCTCAATTTTATATCATTTTCTGGTGTCCTGTCATTGTTAGACAATTTAACAAGATTTGTTGTTATATCTGTAGTTTCTATTGATTTTAATTTTTCATTAATGCGATCCATTAGATCCTGAAAAATGGCAGGACTGTCACCTTTTTCAAACTTTTCAGAATTAATAACATATTTGATGCTTTCCTGATCTGCTGACAGCAAAGTTTTGTCTGAGTGATCAGACACTCTTCTGTACATTTTACTTTCATGATCACACATTCCATTGCTTCCTTCAGCTGGCAAGAGGGATGGAGGCTGGTTAATAGTTATTTCAAGTTGTTTGTTATCTATGGCTGGAAAATCTGTGATTGAGCCTTCTAATGTTTCAAATTCATGATTCTGGACAGGTGATAATGGAGGTGGTGATGGGCTGCGAGATCTAGTAGAATTTTTAATGTTGTTTGATAGATCACAATCTTCAGTTGAATAAGAAGTAAAAGTTGCTGCTCTCACAGAATGTTTGTTGCTACAGTTCTGCAGTTGTCCAGTATAGCACCTATATGGATTACAATCGCTGGTAATCCCTTTATTCATCGTCTTAATACATCCAATAGCTACAGCTTGGCATGACAAACAATGCAAATCTTTAATACAAACAGATAGAGATGGTAAACAAATGTTTGGTTTTTGATTTTGTAAACAGCACCTTTTTGTCAGCATATGTCCATCGCAACTGCAAAATGAAACATGCACATCCTCTTCGCTGAAGGGTTTCTGAGTTTCTGAGTGGATATGTGGTTGCTTGCAAATGCAAAGTGAAGGAACATTTTGATCTTGGATTAAAAATTTCAACATAGCCAAAATCTGTTGCCAGTGATATGAGCACAAAGACTCCAAAACCTTGTTTAGAGCTGATTTTTCTTTTTCCAATTTAGTTGTTTCCTCTGATTTTGCACCAGCTGTTGAACTTGAACTGAAAACAAAAACAAATCAAAAACAAAAAATAAATTACAGTAAAATAACAAGTATGTTACATTTTAATGGTTAAACTGAAGACTGAAAACCTAAAAAAATCCAAAATTAAAAAGCTTTCCATCCTATTTATATACCTATTCATATTTGCAAGTTTCTCATAGAAATATTTCATTTCAGTGGATATGTATGTTATACATAGTACAGTTATATTCCTAGCATGGACAATACTCTGAAAATAAAACGTCACTTGATGAAATAAAAAAGTCTGAAACAGTATCTTAAGATAAAAATATCTATAATAATATCGATCTCCTGGCATCTTTCCCAGCAAGGCTTCAAATTACCTTAGGAACATTAATGAATTCAGTCAGTCTCACAACAAATATGAGGTACATGCCATCCCATCTTTAAGAATGGAGTAGTTGAGGGACAGAAAGATACATTACTTGCTTAAAGTCACAATGGAAGTCTATGGCAGAGGCGAGAACAGAACCTCTCTTCTGACTCCTGGTCCTGCACTTTAAGCATAAGATAATCTTTTCAGTATTTATTATGAATTTATTTTAAAATGTATTTAAGAAGATACTCAACCTTAGTAGGCCACAGACATCATTTTAAGTAGTCATTCATTGTAGTTATTATTCTTTTTAGACAAAAATTCTTGTTCTTTCCAGTTCTTAATACTTGGGTGCAGAGTCTGCCACAGGCTTCCATTGTATATAGCGCACACACACAATTCTGTATTTGCACAAAACAGAAACAAACAATGTCTCAAGTAAATGATTATTATTTTGATAGAATCCCCTTAAATCTTAAAGGGAAAGAGCTACATCTAAAAAAAGACTTAAACTAACTTTTCTTGAAGATAATTCAACCAAAATAAAATCAGTTACGATATACTATTTTTAAACTACTTATCTGGTTTCAGAGAAGCTTCGTAAAACTGGTAGTATTACTTACCTAATCAATCATTTAAATTGAAAAGCTGAAAATGTTCCAGTGTAGGAATTAATACAGATCTTTCTTCAATTAAATATAAATTCAATTGTTTGACAGCTAATACAATCAAATTTTAACCTCTATAATTAAAAATTTTTATTAATACAAATTGCAACAGGAACAAATAATATCAAAAAAGAATTCTGTTTTAGAAAAGTATGAATTGGTTTAAACATATCACCAAACTCTGAACATGACACAAGCTATTTATTCTATCATTATCTCCAGTAATTTTCATAATTTTAGTCTCCATTAGGGAGAAATTTAATTTTGAGTGCTTTCACAACATTGTTGATCATAAACCAAGACATTTTAAGATACCATGTGTATAGTTTATTTGAATTACCTTAAGTAATTCATTAACTAATTCAAATGAAATGTAAACACACTAGATCACCTCTGATTTACAAAAATCTGTAAATTACTTCAGCTTTCCTCGGGTCCAGCCACTCCTGCAAGGGAAAAGACCTTTTTCCCTCACGCAGGGAGAAAGGAAGGCTCTGAAAACTTTGCTCCCTCAGCCACACTGGCTCAGTCTGTCCAAACTCTTGGGCAGATGGGGCTTGGTATGGAAGGGGCCAAGAGATTTCCTTTATTCA